TCTTGTACATCTCATTGTTGCAATGGGTCTACCTGTATCCTATTTAAACAAATTGTTTTTTCCCTTCCCCTCCCCAAATTATACCAACATCAAATACAGTGAAAACGGGTTATACCGTGGGGGAGGGACATACAAAGCAACAAAAAAAATCACATGGTACCTTATAAATACCTTAGAAACAATAGCAAGAAAGAAAAAGCCACTTGTGTCCCTATGTTGGGGTTCATTTCACTTAACATCATCTTATCTGACCTTTTCTGCTTGTCCCAGACATATACTAGTTATTGCAAATAAGAGAAACCATGGGACCTATCTTTCTTTTGGCCTGTCTTACTTCACTTAATATAATTTTTTCCAAGTCTTTCCATTTCCTAACAAATGGAGCAATGTCATTCTTTCTGATAGAGGTATAGAATTCCACTGTATATATATATACCACTTTTTCCTGATCCACTCATCTACTGAGGGGCATCTGGGTTGGTTTCAATAAATACATTTTAAAAACAACAGTTAAGAGAATTTGTTAGCCAGGTGCTGGTGACTCACACCTATAATCCTAGCTACTCAGGAGGCTGAGATCTAAGGATCTTGGTATAAAGTCAGCCCCGGCAGGAAAGTCTGTGAAACACTTATTTCCAATAAACCAGAAAAACCGGAAAGTGGCACTGTGGCTCAAGTAGTAGAGCGCTAGCCTTGAGCTGAAGAGCTGAGGGACAATGCCCAGGTCTAGAGTTCAAGCCCCATGACTGACCAAAAGGAGAGAGAGAGAGACAGAGAGAGAGAGAGAAAGAGGGGGGAGAATTTGACAGCAAGCAGACCTGGGCTACAAGGGATTATCATGTAAATTCTTCAGGTTGAAGAAAATAAAAAATGAAAAATCAAATATGCACAAAGGAATAAATATTGGACATGGTATCTATGTGGGTAAATAGAAAGTATCTTTTACCATTTTTTAACTTCTTTGAAATATAACATACTTTTAAAATACTGTGGGTGTGTAATTTGTATCTGGATAGCTAACAGCAGTAACACAAAAGATAAAAGGGCAGAGATAGAACAGTATGCTAATTAAGCCATAATACTGAAGGTAGACTGGTAAGTTAAAGACACATTCCAGAAAGCCCAGAGCAGCCAAAAAGACACGGAAAAGAAACAGTAAGATAGTAAACAAATTGAGTCATAACAATTATTACATTAGCTTTAAATGGACTAAGCACATCAATTAAGAAGCAGCGATGTCAGAGTGGACAACAGAGAAAGGCCTAACTATAAATAAAAAATAAGAAATATTTTCCTATCTTTATTATCCTTCTTTATCCTATAAAATGTAAACACTGATGATAAGAAAACCGAAATGGCTAATTATAATGTTAGACAAAGCTGATTTCAGGCTAAAGAATATTACCAAAAAAAGAGGAACATTTCATATGGTATGAGGGTCAACTATCAGGAAGATAAAACAATTCTAAAAATGTAATACCTTAATAGAACTTAGAAATACAAAAGGTAAAAATTAATACAACTGAAATGAGATATAGGCAAATTCACAATAATAGAGAATTAAACTCTATTAGTATAATTGAAAAAAAAAGTAATTGATAGGACACCTAGAAAGAAAATCAACAAAGACAGAAGACATTAGTAATACTATCAACCAACTTAGCCTAATTGCATTATAGAACACTTTATTCTGTAACTGCCAGATATAAGACGTGCATATGGAGCTGGGCGCCAGTGGCTCACACCTGTAATCTTAACTACTCAGGAAGCTTAGATCTGGGGATCACAGTCCAAAGCCAGCCTGGGCAGGAAAGTCTGTCAGACTCTTATCTCCAATGAACCACCAGAAAACCGGAAGTGGTGCTTGGCTCTAGTGGTAGAACACTAGCCTTAAGTTGAAGAGCTGAGGGACAGTGCCCAGGCCCAAAGTTCAAGCCCCATGACAAAAAAAAAAAAAAAATACATATGGAATATTCACCAAGAAAGACCATCTACTGGACCATGGAGCAAATTTCAAAAAATTTCAAAGGGCTGGGCACTGGTGGCTTACACCTGTAATCCCAGCTACTCAAGAGGCTGAGATCTGAGGATGGCAGCTCAAAGCCAGCGAGGGCAGAAAAGTCTGTGAGACTCTCCAATATACTACTCAGAAAAGGCTGGAAGTAATGCTATGGCTCAAGTGGGAAAGTACTAGGCTTGAGCAGAAAAACTCAGGGACCGCACCAGATCCTGAGTTTCAGTCACATGGGTGAAGAGGAGGAGGAGAAGGAAGAAGAGGAGGAGGGACAAGGGCTAAAAAGGAAGATGGAGAAAAGTCTTGGTGGCTTGAAGAAGAGAAGCTATGAAGCAATAGATTAGGAGAACAGGAATAAATAGGTTTGCCATGGTTGGTCACTTTAACCCAAGACACACTTGAAACAGTTCTCTAGTGTTTTTGTGCCTAAGTCTATGTACATGCAGAAGTAATTATCAATATCTACCCATCTTTATTATGCATATGCAACTCTGAGGAGAGAACAAATCTTGCCCTCTAGTAAGGGCAGATGTGCTTCAGAAATGTATAGCTAAGTGAATGTAATGTTGGTAGGTTTGTAGCTTCCTTGTACATTTGCAAAACTGATTCTCTGTTTAGAATTCCCTATTACAAGACTACCTTCAAAAAAGAGTCAATGCATTATAAATTTAAATGAGCTTATTATGTGTATTTCCCATTTGCCATAAGATTACTGCTGAAATGAAAACTTTAAGGAGGAAATTAATGTCATAGAGGGAAAAATCCTTATTGTAAGAGGCTGGAATATTAAAAATGTTTCAAAAGGACTATGAAGATTTCTAATGTCCATCTCATATAAGAAGCTGGAAAAGTATTTTTTCATAAGCTACAGGTATCTTTTATATCAAAATAATTTCAAGTAAATAAAGGTGTAAATTATACCATAAATATATATTAAACTTTGTAAAATAGCTGATGAGGTAATAGACTATCCTTTTGTGTTTTGTTTGTTGATGAAACTCAGGATAACAGAATAGTAATTTTGGTGTTTTACAAGACATGAACAGTGTGTTGATTCTCTAAAAATACTTTATTTTCTTAAAACTTTGTATTGGAGAAGAGGGGGCTCATACCTAAATTATAATATTATTCAATTACGTTCACATGCATATGTATTTTGAGCCTAAATCTCTGTAATTGTCTCACTACACCAAATTTCTATTATGGAATCTTTAGACAGGAGCTTCAAGACTGAAATCTCTCCCACTCCTAATATGGTGATTCAAAGACCAGTTATCACTACATAGCATATTCTTTTTAGCAATAAGGTAATGTGCTATTTCTCTCCCATCCTTCCTCCCTCCTCTCTTCCCCCTTTACAAAAAATTAGGCCAAATCTTATTAGTAATTACCATGCATGTGTGGTAATGAAATGTTACAAAATAACCACTATTCACTATTCACAATCAACCTAACATTTAATATGAATGAAGCAAAATGAACCAAACTAACTTGATAGGTTCTTGAGACACATTTAAGAGTCATGATGCTATTCTGATTTACATCTAAAGGTAGAGAAACATAGTTATAATTCTTAGGTGGAACTGTTTATTCTGTTCAGTTCAAGTTTTGTCTTTAAATACATCTATGCAACTTTTCACAATTTTTTTTGAAGTGGAGGGAGGTTCTGGTACCAGCGTTAAATTTGTATGCTAGGATTTGTCTGTCTAGCTAGCTCTAAACTTTGATCCTTAGAGCTCACTTCCTGAGTAGATAAGATCATAGGCATGAGCCTATGATATCTGGTATCTGGACACTTTTCACTTTTAGGCAAAGTCCATGTAGCCATATGCAGGTAGGTTTGACTTTTGTCAGATAGATAATTTGAAAAATATTTGCTGAAACAATGCAAAATGTTCAAATTAGGTTTAACCCATGATTACAAGGCCTAGAAGTTAGTGCATATAATGAGGGAGGATTATTCTCTGGAAAAAAAAAAGTTTCTACTTGTTAAGAATACATACCACCCATTGCAACAATGAGACTTACAAGTCCTTATGTTGAAAATGAACTTTACAACTTTGGTGTGTGGGGGGGGAGGAGGATTGGGTTGGGGGGCAGGGAGTGGATGGGAAGGGATGGGAAGAGGAAACAAAGGAGGAGGCTACAATGCTTGATAAGAAATGTACTCACTATCTTGCCTCTGTAATTGTAACCCCTCTGTACAGTATTTTCACAATAAATTTTTTTAAATAAATATTTTATTATAATATATATACATATAAAAAAAGAAATGTACTCATTATCTTGCCCATGTAATTGTAACCCCTCTGTACAGTATTTTCACAATAAAAAAAAAGAATGCATACCAAAGAAACTTGACTAATATATTATCAACAAATGAAACATGGGAGAATCTAGATTTTTAACTAAAAAAGTTAAAAAATGTCTGTATTTTTAGCCCATCCAACTGCTTAAACTAGTAAGAATGTTTATAATTAGCATGTTTTTATTATTTATTCCAAATTGCTTTTCATTCTTCTACAGAATGGAAATGTAACTTAACATATTCTAGGCACAATGCTTCTGGTATAAATATAAATGTATAAATAAGTATAAATATAAATGTATAAATAAGTATATAACAAATAAGTAAATACATGAATAAATAAGTATAACTGATAGAAAGGGTAGTAACACTGATCAAGATGCATTGTACTCATGCATTATACTGACTTATGGCATGGTTACCTCTCTGCACGACTACTTAATTATAAAATTTTTAAGACCACATATTTCTAGACCCCACTTCTGATCCTGTAGGACTATCATGGGGCCTAAGAATTTGTATTTTTAATAAATTCCCAGGTGAGGTTAAAGCTGTAGGTCTTAGGGATGTATGTAAAGAACTGCCTTAAGCTATTTCTGGGAATTTCTGAGCTTAATGTCTTAAATTTGGATAGCCTTTCATCTGCTGTTGGGAATTTAGAAATTTAGAACTACTAACCTTTGATGTTTCTGGTGCAGAATAAGGTCTTGCAGGTGAACAACTCTCTGTAGAATGAAAAGTGTGTGCCTCTGTAGATCAAAAGTGTGTGGGTGCTACAGTTTGGATCTTGAAAGTTCCCCAAATGCTCATGTGTTTAAGGCTTGGTCTCTAGGCACCTATAGGAAGTGGGGTCATGTCCTCAAAGGGGATTGTGGGATACTAGTCTTCAGCTTCCTTAACTGCCATGATGTGAACAGCTGGTTCTATCATGTGCTTTCTACGTGATGGGCACCTAAAGGTAATGGAGCCAAATGACCATGATCTCTTTCTTTTTTAGTTTTGTTTTGTCTGCCGTGGGGCCTGAACTACTCTGACCTGGGCGCTGTCCCTTAGCTCTTCAGCTCAAGGCTAGAGCTCCACCACTGGAGCCATAGCACCACTTCCGGCTTTTTCTGCTTATATAGGGCTGAGGAATCGAACCCAGGGCCTCATGCATGCAAGGCAAGCGCTCTACCACTGAGCCACTTTCCCAGCCTTAGGTATCTATTACAGTAACTGTAATAACCTGTGGGGTCTGATAATCAGCAGGGCCCAAAAGCATGGCCCTGTGGCCCGGCCTACTGGAGGGGGCGTGGCATCAAGAAGCGAGCCTCACCGCTCCACAGCCCAGGCCACCTGACAGAGCAGGGCTTTGAGAGGCTGATGTCACCTCCCCACCCGGCATGCGGCTGGAGGAGTGGGGCGTGGTGCCGAAAGGGGCAGGGCATGGTACTGGAGGGGTGGAGCATCGAGCCCCACATGGTGAGCTGTCAGGAAGTGATTGGACAGTGGGCAGCTTGGGGGAGGAGCATAAATGGCAATTGGAAAGCGGTTTGGGGAAAACCCTGAGGGGAAAACCATTAGGAAAAAACCGTTAGTTAGCTAGTATGGAGTTAGGGAGTGCCGAGGAAGGAGAGTAGTAGGAGTGGAGGGAGAGGCGGCAGGCCAGGGAAGCTTGCCGGAGCAGGGCAGGCCTGTGGAGGACAGGGCAAGCCTCGAGAGGCCATTGGGACCTCCTCCGGAGGTCATTCCGGGCCTCCCTCTGGAGAGGCCTGCGGAGAGGCGCCTCCGGCGGGCAGGGCAGGCCTGGGGAGCGCGAGAGGCCTGCAGAGGAGGAGGACGGGAAGAAGGGGAAAGCCTCCCCTTTGGGGGTTTGGAGCTTCGGAGGTCTGGGGTTGGAGGCCGGGGGTCAGGGCTGCCTACTGGAGGCTGGAGGTTTGGTGGCTGAGGCTGCTCTTGGTTCTGGCATCCAGCCCAGGACAGGGTGGGCTCAAGACCGCTTTCTTCTGTCCACCTTTCACTGTCCTTGCCTCAGTGGAGCGTCTTGCGCTCTGGAGGTCATAAGTTAACGAAGAGCTAACTGACATTCTGAGTTTCCCAGCTGCAGTAATAGGAGGTTTTCAGGGCAGGCTTGTGAGACTTCAGAAGAGCTGGGCTGGGGACGTGGAACATGTTTTCCTTGGGTTAGGGGTAAACCGTTTCAGAGACACGAGCTAGCCCTTTCTTATTGTTGTAGGGTTCAGATTCCACAGAGGAGCCAGAGTTGCTTTGAGTTGCTGGTAGGTGTGAAACTGATGGCAATTAAGGCTGTGTAACCCCCAAATCCAGTAACTACTTTGTGAATAAGTACAATGTAGGAAACCAAGACTTCATTCTCACAGCAGGTTTGAATCCAGTTACACCAATGATTATCTCCATCAACTAGTTCTTAGTACCGTCATCTATAACATGAGGACAGCGCTCCCATCTCTCAGGGTTATTGTGAGGACAAGCACGATAGCCTGTATAAAGTAGTAGTTTGTGTGTTCCTTGACACATAATAGGCCAAATCTCAATCTAGCCTGCGGGGAAGCTGTTGTACACCATGCTGCATTAAGTTCAGTCAATGCACAAAGTGTGTCTGGTTCTTTTTGAATATAAGGATTACTGACATTTCTCCCTCTGTGAAAGGAGGTAGTTAGCTTTGGGAGTCTGTTGTTAAGTCACTTACAAGCATTTGTATTCTCTGGAGGGCATGTGAGATTGGAGCCTGTATGAGCTGACAGGAAATCTACCTGCCACACTACTGCCACATATGAAGACTTTCAAATTCTAGAATGACTATTTGCAGTATGGAATTTTGTTTTTTCAGAGCTAGAAGGAACAAGGCTAATTTATGTCAGCTAAATTCATTTTATAGATCATCCAGGAAGGTTTAAGTGACTTTCTCAGGTCATAGAACACTATAATATATAGGATTCCTAATTCTGAAAAGCTTTTATTTTCATTTACTCCACTCTTTCTGAATTTTGCTCCTTTTGCTATACCAATAAAGTATTTGCATATTTATAGCACTTTGTTTTTTTACATATATATCTAAGATGAGGAGAAATTAATTAGCAGAGTGCTGTGCCTCTAAGGACTGGCTTAGAGAAGAAAGTCCTTGAAAGAGTAAGAATTTAAAGTCAAATTGAAAGGGTGCAAGTATAGACTAGCAGACAGTAGCAGTGTAGCTTATCTGTTTCCATCTGTTATCCTCACATACTCTAAAGTTTCATTATTAGCATTATTCCAACAACCTAGTGTTAGCTTACTGGCAGTTTAGTAACTATACTTATAATCTATTATTTTAACACACAGGAATCTTTTGTTGTTGTCTTAGGCATGCCTTAGCCAATAAATGTGATTTTTTTCTATCAGAAACTTAAAAAATAATAAAACAATTTTTAAAAGTCTGTATTATAAGCTTTATAAAGAAGGGTTTCATTTTCCTTCTTTTATACTTAAGAACTTCTTTTAAAGTACAGAAACAAAATCTACTAGCAGAAAAAATTATAATTTCAGAATGATATGGATAGAATGTACTCTCATCTCTCCCTCACCCCGATTCCTCTACTGTTCAAGTTCCTGCTACTTTTGTTGAGGTAGGAACAATCAGATGCATAATCCCTATTACAGGAGATCTTGACTCTCTAACCTCCTCAACCCCCAGCATAGGAACAACTTCAGAAGAGAATGTAAAGAACACAATCTTTCTCCTCATTGTCTTCTGTGAGTTTCTGCTAGTTCTGTTGAGAAATCTTAAGGACTCATCATGACAGACATGATCCATATTGCAGGAGAGCTTAAGTTCCCATTTTTAGTAGAAGGGAAGATAGATGGTGATGTTCCTCAGTATGTAAGTTGCAAAGGAGGCATTTTCTCATTGAAATAATGTAAAAAGTAGTGGGTAGATTTTCATTAACCTTGAGGAATTAATGAGAAAGCTTAAAAGCTAAAAGCCATTTCGTATTTGTTATTTCTATGAGAAAAATATAGGCTCCTCACAAGACACTACATTGAAAGTGAACTATACAACTTATGGGGTAAAGGAGCCAGAGGGAAACTGGGAGAAAATGAGGAAGAGGTGACCTTCAAAAAGAAATGTACTCATTACCTGACTTATATAACTGTAACCCCTTTGTATATCACCTTGACAGTAACAATAAAAATATTAAGAGAAAAAAATATGCTGACCACCAATAAGCTTTTGGATTAAGACTTGTTATAGGCTGAAAAATAATTGGATGTTATTAAAATTTTGATTTATATGAATTTTTTTTTTGTCGGTTGTGGGGCTTGAACTCTGGGCTTGGGTGCTGTCCCTGTGCTCTTCAGCTCAAGGCAAGTGCTGTACCACTTGAGCCACAGCGCCACTTCTGGTTTTCTAGTGGTTTATTGGAGATAAGAGTCTCACGGACTTTCCTGCCCGGGCTGGCTTTGAACCGTGATCCTCAGACTCAGCCTCCTGAATACCTAGGCTTATAGGCCTGAGCCACCAGCGCCCAGCTACATAAATTCTTTAAGTGTGTATTAAACAATAGCATTTCTTTAGTTCCTGTTTATCTATTGAATATAAACAATCATAATATCTGGGATTATATAGCACTAAAAGCTCAAACATAACTTGGGTGATTTCATTATAGTGTTTGCTTTACTTTCAGATATGTTTGAAATTTTTTATAACAAAAAAGTTTTAAAAATCCTTAAACATAAATTTCAAAAAAAAACTAAAAGATAAACCGAGGATAAACTTGGATGGCAATTTAGGAACCTCTAATAGGAGTAAAAATTTGAATTTTGAGTTACATCCATGACAAAAAAATATCAAACTACTGAAAATATTTAAAATGATGCATCAATTTTGGATTTCTCACATAATTCTTGCTCACAATTAAGAATTTCTTAAAGGCCTGATGCCAGTGCATTATGCTTATATAGCTACTCGGGAGGCTGAGATATGAAAACTGTGGTTTGAAGGCAACCTGGGCAGGAAAATCTGTGAGACTCTTATCTCCAATTAACCACCACAAAAGATGGAAGTGGAGCTATGAGCTCATTAATTTTTCAAGTAAAATGTCTCAGTACTCAATTTTACTTGAAATTACCTAAAAGTCCATTGTGATTAACACTAAGAATAAAATTTAAAGTTCATTTTTAAAAATCACTTCTTTTTAGTGGAACTATTGACTCATGCCTGTAAACCCAGCTACTCAGGAGGCTGAGTTCTAAGGATCATGGTTCAAAACCACAGAAAAATCTGTAAGACTCTTATCTCCAATTGACTAACTCAAAAAGCTGGAAGTGAAGTTGTGGCTCAAGTAGTAGAGTACTAGCCTTGAGTAAAAAACCTTAGGATAGTGACCAGGCCTTGAGTTCAAGCACTAGGACCAGCACCAAAAACAAAACAAAAAGCCATTTCTTTTTAGTATGTTTTCTCTTTAAAACTCAATAAAAGCTCATTAGGGTCCCAAAGGAATTTTATTGAATCAGTTTGATAGTTAAGAATTAAAAAATATTCTACCTACAGTCCCTAATACATTTTCTATAACATACTTTCATATCTTTAATAAAATATTTTAAAACTCACAATGGCATGATAGAAAAGAGAGCAATAATTATAGTAGACAAAATAATAAATGAAATATGATATACCTCCTGCTATGCACCTATGAATTGCACAGAATAATGATTACAACAGATGTCCTTAGAGAACAAAAGAGAAGGTGAAAGTAAA